TTAGCTTGTTGAGAAACAGCACCTTCCTTAAGTGACCCCTCTGATCTTACCATGGGTAACAGATTTCTTAGTGTAATTTTCATCTCTACAAGGAGTCTATACAAATTATCTACAGCATCTCCAAGGATGCTGTAATCCCTGATGTGGTGTGTCTGTGCTGTGGGAAGATGGTCAACAGGGCTTTTGCATGTCCCCTAGCTTCCATCCAGATCATCTTTCCCCTTGGATGTACGACAAGCAGTCAGAACCAAGTCAAGCTCTTTCCCTTACAAAAGAGGATTTTTGTAAAGACGCTGTGTCTACAAAGGCTGATTGAATGATCAAAACTAAGAGCAGAGGACCAGAGGAGTGGGAGATAGCCATTAAACTGTGATTCTTAGTAATGACCTACAAAGTCTCACCAACATGACTGCCTACACATGAGCTGAACAAAGATGACACCAATAGACTGCCCAATAGAAGTGGGTATGGGAAAGACCAGGAGACCTCAACCCTATACAAAGAACATCAGGTCACTAAGGAATGCTGAGATTGGGAGAAATAATCTCCGGGAAAGAGAACATGGATTGGTTTTCTAATACCAAATGGTCAGTCTGGAAAGCATACATACAAGTAACAGTATACAACTGAGCAGGTTGTATTTAAGAATATAAATGCAGATACCTATACATCTGTAACAGCAAATAATGAAAAAGAGGCCATGGGTTTAAAAGGGAAAAAAGAAGGGGTGTAGGACTATTTGGAAAGAGAGAAATGAAAGGGAGAAATGATTTGATTATAATTTCAAAATTAAAAAAAGCACACTTCAATGCCTGAAAAGAATATGGAATGTCAGAGGTTCGGAGCTTGGTGTCATCTTCCCAGACACCAGAGACAGTAACGTTCACAAGACTGGGATGCAAGCCCTTTCTTTATGGATCTCTCAGGTTAACTCTTTGTACTTGGATGGAACAAAGTGTCCCTGTTCTAATGCTCTAAAAAGGTTCAAGTGACTAGGCTCATCAGAGAAGGGACATGTTCCCACAAATAGCTCTGGTCTCTTTTTTTCCATGTTGCCATTCATGTTTGAAATGGGCAGTCTTTTTCATGAATCTCATGTTTCAGGAAGTGCCTTACTGCCTGGGAGACTAAACCCATGCTTTCCCTGCTAGACTTGAGTATAGTAAACGAGCAGGAACACACACCCAGAGTTGGTAAAGTATGGTGTCACAGAAAAACAGGAGGGTTACAAGGAGCAAATTCAGTAAGGATTCCAGAAGAGGATGGAAATGGATAGAGGCATGGGAGGCTCCCGGCTCAGGAGAGTCCAGTCATTATTCAGTAGATCCAGTCTACGCTGGATAGCCCCAGACCCAGGGCTGCTTTATCAAATCCATGGCACATTTATCACACCTGAGCCAGTAGGTCAGATCCCCAAACACCTGGGTTTCCTGGCATCATTCATCTGGAGGGGGGGCTGTGAGTTGAATCCTCAGAGTGTAACTATCCATAAGCACCCAGACAGCCCCATCCCCATCCCCACCTCACCAATGATCTCCATTGGAGGATGTGAAGGGCGAGGTGAAAGTGAAGGGAGGAAGCAAAAGAAGAAAAGGATGGCCATTAAGTGAGAGAGATGAGGGAAATATTCAATGCTCCTTTGCCATTATTAGAGCTTATGAAGGGGTAGATTCAGGAGTGGGGCAGTGTGCTGTTCTGTAGGATACCTTGGTGAGGACCAACTTCTAACCTTGGCATGGGGCCAGATAAGCCTGTCTGGATGATTTTCAAGCAGTTTGTGCCCTAAGAGCCTTGAATGCTCCCCTGCCCTGGCTCACAGTTTGAAGCGACTCCTATCACTCACCCAAAAATGAGTTGGAAGTTTAAGAGATTAGAAACACAAATCTTTCCTCCTGGCTAGCTCACCAGCTGACATTACTGGTTACTGTCAGGCTTGGAGGACATCACTATAGGGGTTTCAGGCCCTTATATCCACAAAGAATATAAGCAGGAGAACACAGGTGTAGAATTGATTTATTGAGGACATGCTTCTGAGAGGAAAGCCAAGGGCATTAACATGGAACTTTATTTTTCTAAGATGTATTTTGCTTTGTTTTGTTTATGTATCTGAATTTTTTTGGCTGCATATATGTATATGCTACATGTGCATGCCTTGTGTCCATAGAAGTCAGAAGAGGGTATCAAATCCCCTGGAACCAGAGTAACAGATGGTTGTGACTGCTGGGAATCAATCCTGGGTCTTCTGCAAGAGCAGTGAGTGCTCTTAATCACCCATCTATCTCTTCATCCAGGGTTCTGAACATTTTGTTAGTTTAGCATGAGCTTTTCAGCCTATTTGCATAATGCTACTTTTCTATACATGCTGGATCTGTTATATGTTCAACTTGCAACTTCACATGTTGTATGTCTAATTAGCCTTTTAACTATCTGCCTAGGGATGTGTTTTAGTATTATACTGATCTATAGCTTACTCTTGGACAACAAAGTGCCACTATATCAGATTGACAGTGAGTCTTAGGGAGGTACCTGACTCTTTCTTTGCCAACCTGTGTTTTCATATTCTAATCTTAATTACTGCCTCTCTAGGTAGAGAGGTATTATAATTGATTCAAAATATAATATTAGTTGCATTTTCTCTACATGGCAACCCTTAGCACATTACTGTTTATGAATATCTTTCACAGCATTACATATAAGGTTACCAAAACTATGTACAAAGTACACAAATATAGTACCAAGATCAATTGATACAAAAATATTGATAGGTAGCAATCATACCACACTTCAGGTAGAATCCTTAACACATTAGTATTTATGAATATCTTGCACAGCATTATACAAAAGTTGCCAAAGCTATATACAAAGTGTACAAATATGATACCAAGATCAGTTGATAGAAAACATTAGATAGGTGGCAATCACACTAACTACAGTCTCAAAGCCTTGATTACCTAAGAGGGGAAAAAGTCCAGTTATATCATATTGACAAACTTTTAATTACTAACATCAGTCTATTTTCTCTAAGTTGATTATTAAAATAAAGGCAACAGATCATCAAGCCAACCAGACTCTACTTTCTCTCCATGAAGAACATTTAAATGGGACTCTTCACCTGTTTGAGGGCTGATGAAAAACATGCCAACTGAGCCAGAAGCCTTCCTCAAATTGTCCTCATAGCTATCTGTCAATAGCTATGCCAGCCCATGTTGCCAATTTTAACTTCCACCAGACCAGTCAGTTCTGGTAATGATAAGATCTCTTCCCTAAGTAGTCTTGGAGATGCTGACATCTTTACTCTCCAAGATCTTGTAACTCATTATCCTAATTATAATCAGTTATGCTCATCAGCCATCATCGAAGACTAGGGAATAATACTGTATCACATTGGTTGTCTTGTTTCCAGGCCATGCATGGCTCCTTACAGTCTCACTAAAGATAGTCCTGCTCCCATCTGCTTCATCAGATCTTGAAGCAACATCTAATCACACAGTTCTACTGAGTTCTTGGTGGAAATGCAAAATGCACAGTAACCTCTTAGCCTGGCTGCAACAATGATTTTCATTAATAAGACAATTATTCCCTAAGTGGAGTTTGAATCCTTTGCACACAGGTACCCATCATCTTATTGTAGGTAGCAGACCCGGGATTGATGTTTATATCTTGAAGAGTCAATGCAGTTCTGGAGGTCTTTGGTTGGTGTTGCTGTACAGTGAGTAATTTATAAAGAGAAAATATTTAATTATTATAATTCTGCAAGCTTTGCAGTCCAATATTGAGGTGTTTTCATCTGGTTTGAGCCTTTGTGGCACAACATCCTTTGGCAAAAGTTTGAAGATCAAGAGAGGTCAAGAGGAAGAGAGTGTGCTTTTGAACAAACCAGTTTCTCTATTTCCATAATGTTGGAAAAGTCCTCAACCCAATCACTTCTTAGCCCATAGCCCCTCCAACACTGTTACATAATGTTTCTAGTATAGGAGCTTTAGGGCCACATTCAAATCTGTGCATGGGAAATAAATGACTGTCTTCACAATAGTGGAATTGTCAAATCTGACAAGCCATCACCTGGAATGGCAGTAATAGAGGTGAAATGACGTCAATCAAGTAAATCTTCAGGTAAATGGAGTAAGTCAAGTAGAGGATTTCTTCTGTAAGTCAAGTATCAGATTTCACTTGCTGGCTGACTTTTCTGAAGGAGACTAGAAGCAAGAAAATGAATCAGTGTCTGTAGGCCAAGTCAAAATAACCGCTTTTATCTTATAACTAATGATGTTAGTGGACTATGCAGGAAAAAAGTGAGTATGAGGTCCAAGCTATCACTTATATCTGTGATCATAGATCCATGAGACATTATGAAATGAACAGAGATACAGCCTAAGTCATGTCAGTCAACTTTAATCTCCCTTTTAGATGTTTCTGTGTTTTGAAGGTTTTAAAAACAAGCCTAACCCAGTTCTACCCCTTATTTATATTCATATTAGTGGAACAGGGAAAACCATAAAAACTGATGCAACAAAAGGAACAAAACTATCCATTATGCATGAAGTACTACTTATCTGGGGACCTAGAAATACCTAGAAAGTTGGATGGACAGCCAGATATCTGGATCTGGGTGAAAACTGTGGTCTACTTGCCGCCATTTTTATACAAGTCTGTTCATTTCCACTTTAGCACAACCTCACATCTACCAGGAGAACAAACACAAACACACTGACACACTCACAGTGCCACTGGATATGTGTGCAAATAAGAACATACCAGGGAGAGCTTTTTAAATAGGAAGATCTTGTTTATTGAGAAAAGCCTACTTGTATTTTCCCCCATATTTTCCTGCAATTCCTCTTGCCTCTCCCCATGCTAAAGACTTGTATATATACCTAAGCTTGTAAAACAAAAATTCATGTCCGTTGTTGCTTGTGGTAGAGATGGTTTTGCATTGTTTTTTGAGACAGCATCTTGCTCCTGAGCTGCCTGTGCCTACCTCATGAAAACTGGGATTGATTTTAGACTTCAGTTCCACATTGGTGTCTTCCTTCTGTTTTTCCTTCCTTTAGTTTTATCTTTCCATTGAGAATAGGTCTATGAAGAAAATGATGCCTTATGTCATTTCCATTGGAGTTATTACCATTATTAACACTTTCATCAATAGGGACAGGGTCCATTTCTAGAAGAAAGAAGAGAACAAAATAAAATTCTCATCATAAGAATTCACATTCTCCTTGCCCATCTCTTCATAAGAGAGTCACTTTGGTTACCTTCCTTTTACATCTAATTCCACTAAACAATATTAAAAACGCATTCACTGTAGAAATATGGCATCCAAATTAGCAATACATTCTATGATTGATGCCAGTGCTCCAAAGAGGAGAACAAATACAAGTCAACCAATCAGCAATTCTTGGCTCATTACAGATGTTGGCCAGGTTTCCACCAACCACTAACAAAAGAAATATCTTGGCCAAGAAAGGGCTGAGAATGTCAATCAGGGGACAAGAATAAAATGCCATTTGTCAGGGAAGCCCTTCTTTCTTATCCTTGCTGAAAACTCTGGACCTTCTAAACATAGCCTAGAGTAGGGCATTTTAAGCAATAGAAAACTGAATTAAAAACCAAAGCATATGAACCATAGCATATTAAACAACAACCAGAAACCTGGAGACAGGTTATATTTTATGAGATTTAGTATAAGAGCTCCAAATATTTTTTCATTACATCTACCTGCAAAAGTATGGTGATGTTTTTCTGTTAGCTTAGTGGCTGCACTTGAATCTACTGGTGTGTGTGTGTGTGTGTGTGTGTGTGTGTGTGTGTATGTATTTAATATATATATATATATATATTAATCTACTGATTTTTCTTTTTTTATTTTAAATTTTTTGCTCTTATACCAGTACCCTCTCCCTCCCTTCTTCTCTCCCTCCCTTTTTTACTCCCTCCCATGACCCCCAACCATCCTCCCATCCCATTTCCCTTCCCTACTCCACAGGGAGGGTGATGCCCTCCAGGAGGGATAATCAAAATCCAACTCATTTGGAGTAGGGACTAGGCCCTCCCTCCTGCCTCTAGGTTAAGGGAGTTTCCCTCCATGAGAAATGTGCTCCCAAAGTCCTTTTGTGTACCAGGGATGCATCCTGGTTCCACTGTCTGAGGTCCCTTAGACTGCCTAGGCCTTCTAACTGAGACCCATGTTAAGGGGGTCTGAGTCAGTCCCATGCTGGATTCCCACCTATCACTCTGGGGTCCCATTAGTTCCTCCTTGTTCAGGTCAGCTGTCTCTGTGGGTTTTTGTAACCTGGTCTTGTCCTCCCTCTCTGCATCTGGATTCCAGTTTGGCTCAGTATTTAGCTGTGGGTGCCTGCTTCTGTTTCCATCAGCTACTAGATGAGGGCTCTATGATGGTGGGTAAGTTAGTCATTAATCTCATTATCAGGGAAGGACATTTATGGTAGATTTTCTACTGTTGCTCAAATTGTTAGTTGGGGTCAGACTTATAGGTCTCTGGACATTTCTCTAGAGTCAGTCCCTCTTGAAACCTATGGCTCCCTCTTTTATGCTCTCTCTCTCTCTCTCTCTCTCTCTCTCATCTATTCTCCCCTGACTCAGTCTTTCTAGTCCCACAAGCTTTCCTCTCCTCCCCTTCTCTTTCTCCTAGCTCCCTCTCCACTTCACTCCCCACCCCCAATATGCTCAGGAGATCTTATTCCTTTCCCCTTCTGTGAGGGACATTGTATGAATCTCTTACATTCCTCCTTTTATCCTAGTTTCTCTGGCAGTGTGAATTATAGGCTGGTGAATCTGATATTTTAACCATTGCCACAGCCTTGATATGTAGGTTTAAACCAATTCTCTATTGTTCTATTTGCCAACAAAGACTCACAAGTTAGCTGTGGGGATGATAATTTCCTAGATAGAAAAACCAAGAAGAAAGCAGCTGGGCTTGCTTTTTGGCCTGCTCATCCCCAAAGCAAACCAAAGCACCAAACTCTAGTCCTGCCCTTTCCTTCCTTTTCATCTTCTCTATCCAGATCCCTAGCTTCTCTGTGGCTAGGAATGGTGTGGCCCTGCACACCATTCAAAGTTAACTTTATTAACAGTTTCATGATGTCATAGGGAAATCAAATATCATGCAACAGCATAGAAATTTTCTCTTTATAATCAAGAGGAATACATCCTGACCTGAATTGTGCTCAGTTACATCATCAGAACCACAATGCACTTCTTCTTCTGGTGGGGGAACCTGGATGCTTTGGTCTCCATTGACAGAGTGTCTGAATCTTCTGGTCCCTAGTTTGGTTAGAAATAAGAGAAGAGAAAGCTAAGTAGGTGTTCATCCCCCCAGCTCCTCCCCTGCAGACTCTTCTTACTTGACTGTGTCTTTTCACTGAAGGTCAATCTTCCAGAAGGGAGTGATTTGTTGTGACTCTCCATTCCAGAATTGGGGGACTCCTCTCTCCTTGACACCTCAAGTTTAAGCTTGCTTCAGATTCAGATGTGGATAGCTGAGGCTTTGCAGGGGAATGTGAATGCATTACTTTCTATGCTAACTCTGTAAGTTCTGAATGTTCTGTGTTTTCTAGAGACCTGGATGTGGGCAGACTTCCAGTGTAGGAGCTGTCATTATTAAGCAGCATGTGACACCCCATATGCATAATTCATCCTCCAACCACAGGATGAATCTGGAAGCAAGTTATACTACTTGAGATGGACCACCTCTGACTTTTTTGTAGTCAATGAAGTGGCAGGTGTATCAAGCAAGGAGGCCAGCCTGCCTGTTAGACTGAATGATTACAAGGTCAAAATGGGTGAAATGATCTTGTGATGTCACCATGAAAACTTCATCCTTGCAAGAAACACATGCATGGGACGTGAGATTTATCTGACCCTCCCCCAGGAAGCTCAGGGTGTTCTTGGGGCCAGGATAGAGTGAGGAAGTGCATTTGGGAGCACAGCGCTGCTGTTGACACTAGTGGGCAGGGAGAGAGCATATAGTCACACAGACCAGCCTTCTGAGCCTGCTCTGTACTGAACACCTTCCTGGATTCACATTTTCACGTGTAATAAGTTCATCCCTAGTTTGTGCAGATTCCTTCCAGTCAAGTTCTGATCATTGATGTACATTTCAATGCAGAACTCTAAGTACTGGTGGCCACAGCATTGTTTTAAATGATTGTTGGGCAATACAAGATTGTTTCACAGAAATTATGGAAAATGTTTTCTTGATGTGTTATGGATTTTTAAAAAAATGACTCAAGAGTATAGCAATTTTTGAAAGCACCAAATATAGAATGAGGTCTGTGCAATGGACAACAAGAGCCTGGGGACAGCAAGGAATTACCTGCATAATGTGAGAGGGTAGGCAAACCCTCCCATGATCTAATCACTGCAGTTTTATTTTCTTCTGGCTATTTTATAGTCCAAGATGATCATCTCATCCTTTTTATTATGTTAAATCATATTTTGAAAATGTATTTATAAAAGAGCAGGTATGATTTTTAATTAATTAAACCACCTTCCTTACTAGTAATAAAACAGTAAAACCTGGGAGTATTAACAGTAAACTATAGTGATTGTGCTTATATAGACCTTAATGTGCCACTCGCTTGAAACAAATTTTAGGAAGCAGAATAGTTAGGTGAAAATGCAAAAGAATGTTAATGGGTTCTGATAAATTGTGGAATAGTTTGCAGAAAAATGTTTACATCTGCAACCAGCAGTGTATGTGAGTGCTTCCTGGATCATTAATAGCAAGGGCATAGAACTCCCTTTAGCAAAGCCAAATTCTCCATATTACCTTCATCAACACTGGTGTCTCTTCTCACTTTACAGTAACATACTGCTAGCACCATGAAAATCAGTATAGCTGATGGCAAAACTCCAAAATGTTTGTTCTGTAAAAGTCTTCCTTGACTCGGTGCTAAATAAAACAAAGTAACAAAGGCTGTGAGCTGAAGCAAACATACCAAGTAAAACCTGAGAAGGTTGATAGGTTAGTGCCAGTACAGTATGTTTACTATCTGCAAAATTGGTTGCAGCTGCAAAGGAGGCAGAATTAATATGGAGAATGTTTCATGGAGTGAAAATCCCCCCAAATCTTTTTTAAAATGTTACTAATATAAATAAACCATCAGTATAAACATGTCTGCTCTCAGTTTCTCTGTTACAAGACACTTGTGTCACTATAATGTCATCCAATTTGGCTCTAGGTAAAGGTATAAAAGAGAAAATTGTCAGAAAAGTTGAAGATCAAGAACTCAACTCTGCATTTTAATTTTCTATTGTATTATTACTTCAGGGAATTAGCATGTCTTTGCAAAAGAACTGATTAAGAATGGAAACCTGTGCTAGCTTGTAGTTCTCAGACCCTCAGGTTAGTGTGCTCCTGTGCTCTTCAATAATACCTGGAGGAGCCTGGACTTCCCACATGCTGGTCTGGACTAGGATTACTGTGATTGCTACAAAGGAAGCATGGGCTGATGGAAGGAAAAACTTAGGGTTTAGACTACTGAAGTTAGACCCAGCTGATCTTACAGTTCATGTCCCACCAAATAGTAGGAGGCATTGAAACACAAAGACTAATATAGGTGGAAACAATGTACATGCATTGTTCTTTAAAATGTTTATCTCTATTTACATGTCACACATAAATTGTTCTGAACATAAGCATAATAACATAATGTTATTACCTAACGAGGAAAATATTAATCTCTCGACTTAGTTGCTAATTCTGAATATCTCGTGAAGAAGTAGAATTTAGGGGGAGAGGACAAGTTCACTTTCTAGCATGTATCCAGGTATGTTTTCCCTTCTGAAAATAGCCCTACATCATATAACTACATCATATTTTACCTGAGACCCTCAGTCCCTGCCAGAGTGACGTGATAGCCACAGAGGCACATATTACCTCAGAAATGACAGTTTACAAAAGATGTCCATTCAGTTCTATGAAGCTTTCATTGAACAGACCTACACACTAGGAATCCCAGTGCTGCTGTTTGGACTTCTTGTTTTGTACACTGAGGCATCTCCCGTCAAGGCAGCAAATGGAAAATTGTGATTAAGAATAGAAAAGCACCTGTGGCAGTGTGAATGACAATGGCCTCCATAAGCTCATTTATTTCCTTGGTCCTGTTAGTGGAACTGTTTGAGAAGGACTAGGAAGCATGG